CCACCATGACCGACCCCGTCCACATGGCCACTGCCCTCCCTGCGGGCTAGGAGCTTGTCGAGGAGCTCCGAATGCCTTCGCTACTTCGTCTGCGCCAACGAGATCAAGTCCAGCACCCCCGCATCGATGTCGCTGCCGTCTTCCTCAACCTTGGGCCACCGCGACATGGCCGTTCGATCCGCGCCGCCCCGAGCTCCCATGTCTTCGCCTAGGGCGCCATTGACACCGCCATGATCTCCTCTTGCCTTTCCCTTGTCTCCCCTCTCGTTTGCTCTCGTTAGGTATTTCGCCGTGGCCGAGAACCGCCGTCCGCCATGGCCATTGCAGGGGTAGCCACCGAGCTCCTCGGATTGACCCCGTGGCACATGCCCGCTCCTATGCACGCCCATGCCCGAGCCTGCCGCTCTTCTTCCGCGCCCGCGGGGCCACTCCCTCTCCATGCCCACGCCCGTGCTACACCGTGTCGGTCGCGCCCGCCGCTGCCGTCGCGCTCGCCGCAGCCACCGCACCACTGTGCCCCGCGCGACACACACCCTGGTCGCGCGCCACACTCTCGCTGGCTGCGCTCGCCCCGTTTGCTGCCCCCCTGCCTCGCGCCGCCTCCAGTCATGGCCATCTTCTGCCGGCCGCCCCCTCAGCCTCACCTACTGCGTGTTGCTTCCTGCTGCTATGCGCTGCTCTCCCGCTGGTACGCTGCTGCACCATGCCCTCGACATCGCCGTGGACAAATGTGGCGGATGGATTGTTAATGGAGTACGAGAAGGAGGTGGCGGAGAAGTTGTGGAGAGGCAGGAGGTCTGGGGCGGTGTCACCTGGGTGTGGTGGAGGTGTTTATCCGACAAGGAGCCGGAGTGGAAGGAGAGGTCACAATTGGAAAGAATCACAAAAAAAATCATTACCCGGAGATCTCAGTTCAAAAAAATGCTAATATCGATGGAAAACATAGAAAATGTTTGTTGTTATCAAGGAAAGGTAAAAATTTAGGAAAGTTAGGATTTTTGAACTGATTTCTATGCAAATGGGGTTTTATTGTTGGATAACGTGATATCAGTACCTGCCCGTTTATGACGTGTCTGATTAGGAAAGTTTGTAAATATTAAGAAACTATTTATTGGGAGGAAAGTTGTGACGTGTCTGTTATTTGTTTCCTAAAACAAATTTCACTAATAAGTTAGGAAAGTTAGATTAAAATGTATTATTTGTTTCCTAAAAATCTGTTATTTGTTTCCTAAGACAAATTGAACCAATAAAAGGAATCAATTGATTTGCATAATTTAAGGAAGTTAGATTAAAATGTATTATTTGTTTTCTGAAAATCTGTTATTTGTTTCCTAAGACAAATTGAACTAATAAAAGAAATCGATTGATTTAGATAAGTTAGGAAAGTTAGATTAAAATGTATTATTTGTTTCCTGAAAATCTGTTATTTGTTTCCTAAGACAAATTGAACCAATAAAAGGAATCGATTGATTTGCATAATTTAAAGAAGTTAGATTAAAATGTATTATTTGTTTCCTGAAAATCTGTTATTTGTTTCTAAGACAAATTGAACCAATAAAAGGAATCGATTGATTTGCATAAGTTAGGAAAGTTAGATTAAAATGTATTATTTGTTTCCTAAAAATCTGTTATTTGTTTCCTAAAACAAATTGAACCAATAAAAGGAATTGATTGATTTGCATAATTTAAGGAAGTTAGGTTAAAATGTATTATTTGTTTTCTGAAAATCTGTTATCTTCCCGGCCCAGAACGACGGAGATGCCACATGATAGTATGGCACCAACCCATCGTCTGTGCGCTGACGAGTGACGACAGAGACGACTGAGCCTGAAACTTAATCTGAGTACGAATAATCAACAGTGACAGCAACTGTTGCGGGCTTGTGGCGAGGTACCCTCACCTGGACAATGATCTTTGGTCGGAGCGCAGAGGTAAGTGGTGTTGTTGGCGACATGCAGATCGTCCACTCGAGAGGCGGCGCTGCATATTAATGGAGATCATGCAGGCAGACAACGAGGTGGGGTGGTTCATCTGTGCGGCCTGCTTCCGATCCAATCTGCGATATTCCCCCATGTGGATGCGACCCCATCACGTAGCCATACAAAACGATATAGGAACCATGATTAGATAAATATACAATGATCAATTGGACTGTATTAGAATTGGAGAGAGAATGAATATACAGGAAACATGCAGGTCGAGCAAGCCAGCCTTTCTTATGGTCGTCTTGTTCCTGCAGATGTTAAGCTAATACCGAATCCAATGTTTAAAACCAATCAATCCCTAGTCTCTTTCTCTGCCAGCGAAAGTTAATCTCTGGTGTCCTTCGTCCAAATTGAATTATATCAAACTGAGCAGGACCGACATAATTATGGGAAAGCCATATAAAAGAGATTAGTGGGAAGGAGAGGATTACATCCCGGATTTTCAGAAGAAATGTGTGTTAGTGTTAATAGGAAGGAGGGGATAATGTCCTGATTTTTTTACTGGGGAGATGTGCATTAAAGGAAAGATAGATTGTGTCCTGATTTCCTACATGAAAAAAGAAAACCGGAAACTTGGAGAAGATCGAGGGGTGGGGCTGGCTAGGGGGTGGAGGTGGGACGAAAAAAATCGGATAAAAATAAACTGTAGAGATTAGCCCATGATCATTAGGAGTAGAGATTAGCTCTTTCACCTTGTCAGACAGTCCCTTCAATCCAAGAATATACAACATCTAGAATAAATAAAACCAATGACATAATTAGTAAACAATTTCAGCGACAAAAGGATAAACAAATTGGATTTTTAAAACAAAACCTGCACCTGCACAAGTATATGTTATATTAACAAAAGTGCAGATCCCGTCCCACTCTTCTTCCGAATAGCAATCTTGGTGAGTGATCTCGACCGGGTTCGATCGGCATGGCGTGTCGTTCCTCCAGGAGTGGGTGCTGAGAGGAAGGATGGCAAACCTCCATTGTCAATCGGCCGGAGCTGCATCATCATTTGGATCATAGCATGGACGAAATCGAGATGGTAGAGGTTGAGGAATTTGTAGGACGTGAGGGTTTAGTGTGGGCATCATGAGAACTCACCCATATCTTGGGAGATGGCAGACCCGAGGTGCAGTCGTGTTCGTGCTTCAGGGGCTGCCATGTGCTTTCCTCGCCGCCATCGCCTGTCAATGTCACTTCAGCGCCACGAGCATGGGACTGAGGGACGAAGGGAAGAGAAGGGAAGGAAGCGAGCTAATGACGTACCTATGTTTGGTATGTAATACCCTCCATTAAGAGTAGATATTTTCTTAAAATCGGTTATTTTGTTTCCTAATTAATATGATTGAGCAATTTAAGGTAAGGTTAATTAATTTAGATTTGATATTTAGAGATTGATCGTGATTGATTCTTTCACATAAAGACATTACTAAAAATAACTTGCACCAACATGGAAAGTTATGATCCGTTAAGATTTTTTTCGTTGTGTGAGAGGGTGACGCGAAACTAAATCGATGGGGTGGGGGAAGGACGAAAAAAAATCAGCGAAATAAAACGGGTGAAAGGTGGGAGGAAGTACCAAAGAAGTACCAAAAAAGACCGGGTAAGGTGGAACGAAAATAAAATCCGAAACGCGACCTACCAACTGAGACATTAAAAATAGGAATCGGATCATGATCGTGGTCTGTGATGGCGGGATCAACGCTCGCAGGAGGTAGGTGGAAGCGAAACGTGCATTTTGAGTCGCCTAAATGGCAAAGCGTACGTTCGGTGCATCGTCATTCTCATTCCACGGAAGATAAGTGCAGCGCAGTGGTCAAAGACGCACCGTCGACGCATGCACCGAATCGCGAAATGAGTGCACCGACACACCAGTAGTAGTAGGATAACCAATGGGAAAAACGAGGGAGGTACGACCAACCTCCTATGCTAATTGTATTTTGATATCTCTCTCATTTCTTCTTTGCTTTCATGAGCCGAAGCCAACGTAAAATCATTTCTGGACCATCTACACCAACCGATGAAAAATTGCAGTTGCGAAAATATGTACGTTTACGACGAAAAGTCCATTCTGCACCCGAGCTCATATGCACCCGCATGAACAGTAAAATCGAAAAAAAATCAAATTTTTTTTAAAAAATTCCAATTTTTTTTGAAAGAAACATTGACAAAAGTTCTAAGTGTCTGCAAAAATTCATCATGAAATCACATTCCTGTAAGGCGTGGCAAAAAAAAACAAATTCAGTGCTTCAAAATGCGTTTGAAAGTAGCTTTTTCAGAGTACTATTTTTGTTTTTTTGCCACGCCTTCTAGGAATGTGATTTCATGACGAATTTTTGCAGGCACTTAGAACTTTTGTCAATGTTTCTCTCAAAAAAAATTTAAATTTTTTTAAAAAGAATTTTTTTTTTGATTTTACTGTTCATGCGGGAGCATATGAGCTCGGGTGCAGATTAGCCGCGTCCCGTTTACGAGCTGAAGACAGCCACGGCTAGACTGACGTACAGAGAACACACCCCGTGTGCAGTAAAAGTCTGAACTTTTATCCAATTACTACCACGCGGCATCCGCAAGATCTCGCTGTAGACGAGCTGTGGTAACCGGCCAACAGATTGCGTTTTCTCCATTTTTACCATGCTCCAACAGACGGGTGGGCCATGCGATCCACGCCTTTTTCCTTTGTGTGTGGTCCCACGCCGGCAGACACCCTGACCTTGAACACCCTGCACACGTGGCGCTTTAACCTCCAGTACCTACCGCCTCGTGAGGAAGCCCAGCCCTAATCTTATCCAAAACATATCCGGGCCAAGACGGTAAAAAAAAAGCGTGTGCCTTTTTCGCTTTTTCCTCTCTCTTCGTTAAAAGGGCGACCTTTTCTTCCTCGCCGCATCTCCGCATCCGCCATTGCCCTTGACTCGTGCTCCCTGCCTCTCTTCTCCCCCGAGACCTCCCCTCTCTCTCTCTCTCTCCCTCTGTGCGCGCGCTCCTGCTCTCTCTTCCTCCTCTTCCTTCTGCTCGGCAGCCATGGCCAACGCGCTATGCGGCGGCAGCAGCAACGTGGCGGCGCCGTGCGGGGAATTTGGCCCCGGGGCGGCGCTCGCGGAGTTTTTGCCGATGGGCGCTGGGTACCGCGCCAAGAGCTCCTTCCCCGCCGGGAGGGTGGCGCTGGCGGACAGGCCCCTGCCCCGGAGCCTCCAAGTGGCGGCCGCTGCTGGACAGGTCGGTCCCTTGGTTTCAATTCGCTTTCTTGTTTACTGTTCGAGATTTTCTAGACGAGATCTTGAGATTTCAGTTCCATTTTATCTTCTCTGTGGGCCGAAATTTCTATTTTGTTACATTTTTAGTTTTTAGCTGGTGGGAAATATACAGTGCTTTAGCGCTGGACGCGGACTAAATTTGAGCTGGTTGTTGGCTGCAGATGAACGGGAACCTGACGATTGGCAAGGCCATGAGGTGGTGGGAGAAGGTGACGCACCCCAACATGAGGGAGGTCGAGTCCGCGCAAGACCTCGCCGACTCCCTGCTCAACGCCGGCGACAAGCTCGTCGTCGTCGACTTCTTCTCCCCCGGCTGCGGTGGCTGCCGTGCGCTCCACCCCAAGGTAGAAATCCTTGGCCGAAAACCCCTGTTCGTTGCGACAATCTGACTCCAAACACTGTAACGTATACTAAACAGAAATTCGTTGGTTGTGGTGTGCAGATTGCGCAGTTCGCTGAGCGGAACCCGGACGTGCTGTTCCTGCAAGTCAACTACGAGAAGCACAAGTCCATGTGCTACAGCCTCCATGTCCATGTCCTCCCTTTCTTCAGGTTCTACAGGGGAGCCCAGGGAAGGGTCAGCAGCTTCAGCTGCACCAATGCAACCGTAAGTCTCACTTACACACTGTAAAAGATTGTGCGTCTGTTTTCTACGAAAATGTTCTTCAGGCACGTTTAAGACAGACGAACGCTGACATGCTTGCTGCAATCGCATCTGATTACAGATCAAGAAGTTCAAGGACGCCCTCGCGAAGCACTCGCCGGACAGGTGCAGCCTCGGCCCGGCGCGGGGGCTCGAGGAGGCGGAGCTCTTGGCTCTGGCTGCAAACAGGGACCTGGAATTCACCTACAACAACGAGAAGCCGTCGCTGGTGCCGATCGCCGAGGCCATCCAGATGGAAGCTGCCTCCATTGGCGGCCCATGGATGCCATTGCCTGCGGCCGCGACGCAGCCGCTCGCTCTGGGATCCGAGAACGGCTCGCTCATCCCCTCTGGAAGATAGTAATCGGAGACCAGGCCCAATCCGGCCATTCCTGTACAGATTTTCTTCTTTTTGTTGTGTGTTGTGTTGAATTCGAGAGGCGGAATCGCAGGGTAAAGGTTTTAGTTTTTTGTAAACCTGCCGAAGCTCTATTGTGATCGTGTTGCTGCAACCAGCCGTTGCTCAACATGGTAATCCTTCTTGCTTTAATGACAAATGGGATGATGCCTCCCCAGAATTAATTAAGATCCTTCATGCCTGATCGTCTCCATGAATTCTACTGTAGTTACTCTCTGTTCTTTCTTTCTCCGAGATTGCATCTGTGTGCTGGGTAAGCTTAACCCCCTTGTGAAGGGTTTCTGTTGGCAGGTCACACTCTTGCGGCTCAGCATGCGTGGGCGAAGTTTGTTCGGAAGAAGAGAAGATTGGTGTTGCCGGAACGGAAGGCCCATGAAAGCTGTGGTGTTCCGTTGCATCAACCGGGCATGGTGACGATAAGCATTATTGGGGGCTTTGGTGGTTGATGGATAAGGAAGGCACCATCATCCTTGTCGCCTAGTTTCTACTCCTATATCCACTGAAAACGAGCAAACGGTGTGTAGATGATGGCCATGCCCCATGCGCTAACCGATACGGTCGTTAGGAAGCTACAAGAATTGGTGTTGGAATTAGGCGCACAGTTGCATAGGAAATCGGGGATATCCTTCCTTAGAGTATAGACTAGACCATACGTCGGATGAGATATTATCTCAACTGGTACAAGAGAGCGGCCAGATGAGCTTATCCGGCTTAAAGTGCAGTGTCGACTTCTGATGCTTTTTGCTAAGTTAGATCATCATGCATGTCGTGCACAGAATTCAGAAGCATCCCTAATCTGACGACTTGGAAAAGGTTGGCTTAAGTTAAATCTGCAAGAAATCAAAATTCTCAAGTAATGGTGTTAGACACCTTAAGCAATCAGTCGCACTCAGCAGGCCTATCAAGCTGACAGCTTAAGCTTGCGACTCTGTACACGACATAACAACAAAAGGTGTCTGACTCTATTAGGAGTAGTAGCAAGTTGTGCTTAACCATGAAAGCCTTGCTTGACGGTCGGACCTCTATGCTTCATTTTTCCTTTACGAATTGACCGTCAGTGTTGGGGATCGTTGTAGAAAATAAAAAATTTCTACGCATCATCAAGATCAATCTATGGAGTAACTAGCAACGAGAGAGAGAGAGGAGTGCATCTTCATACCCTTGAAGACCGCGAGACGGAAGCGTTACAAGAACGCGGATGAGGGAGTCATACTCGAAGCGATTCAGATCGCGGTGGATTCCGATCTTAGCGCCGAACAACGGCACCTCCGCGTTCAACACACGTGCAGCCTGGTGACGTCTCCCGCGCCTTGATCCAGCAAGGAGGAGGGAGTGGTTGAGGAAGAGGGCTCCAACAGCAGCAAGACGGCGTGGTGGTGATGGAGAGGCAGTACTCCGGCAGGGCTTCGCCAAGCTCTTGCGGAGGAGGAGAGGTGTTGGGGAGGGGACGGGCTGCGCCTTAGGTGTGGTGCTGCAGCCCTCCGCTCGCCCCTCTATTTATAGGAGAAGGGGGAAGGGGGCCGGCCCCCTC